AATCACCTGTGGTGTATCAGAACTGCGGTTGATCGGTACATACGTATGCTGAGATGAGCAAATACCTTTTGGTGTTGCTTCTCTTCCGGAGGCTAATAGACCCCTGGAGCCCCATTGCACATGAGCGACTGATGATTGGAAACCACTCGATGAGTGACCTACTGACCTACTGAATAGGCTTCGTCATCACCTGATGTGCGGAGGAAGTACTTCGAGGACATATTCGGTGCCTTTAAGTGGTTTATAGTACTACTGTTGTGAGGTAATACACACATTTGTGAGTGGTATGCAAAACAATCAGGTTTGCAGTTCCTTTCAACGGTTATAAATGAACAAGACCACTGAAAGCGAATTGCTGAGCTCCAAATAATAACGACGTACTGTTCCATTTATTACCCTATGTGCTGCCGGGAATCGTGATGACATGTTTCAAATGAGATATCTTGTTTTATGCTTGCCAAATTATCGATATCCGAACAGTAATCCGCAATAAACGACTATCAACGACCAGGCACTACCTTGTGGATGTATAACACTAGGACACTGGAATCGCGTCTCTGGTACATAACAGACATCAATCCCAAAAGAGTTCATTGTAGTCAAGTCAAGACGAATCAAAGTGAGCGCCAAACAAGCTTATCGACTCATCTGTCGAACCGGTTTCCAAAGTTCAACTTTTTGAGTCGACCACCGTGACAATCACCGGCAGTTTCGCAGTGCGGGCAATCTGAGTACCCTGGATAGTTGGCCACATCCGAACTGGTCAGCCAGTCCCCGGCTCCCAGAGGATCCTGGAATCCCTACTCCACCTTACCGCCTTGTAGGTCAGGTTTTCTAACCAAAGGCTCCGGGTATGGCTCCCCAAGAAAACCCTCTAATACGGCCTGGGTAACTGGGAAGTACCACGCCCACAATCCAACCGTGGACTTATTCATTCAACTCCCCACAACTCTCGTGTTGCCTATCTGTGAAGGGTGTGCCCGTGAAGTTTATATCAGTTCAACAGGGTTAATTATTACTGTTTCAAGAAAAAATAACGTGAAACTATCTTTGAAGCTGAAGGGTGATGAACATTTGTTTGAATTAATTCCATAAGACAGTAAAAATCAGTTTTATTAAGCAATAGTCATAGTGGTAATCATGAATTTTCTCAGTTCTCCGAGGGTACTGTTAAAGCTTGGAAGCGAGTATACCATGAGATCGTAACTTACATGACCGTCCTCGTCGACAAGTGAGCACATAGATCCAGCACACGCGATTGACAAAGGACGACCGATCCGGACCGAGGAATACTGTCCTCCAGCTTCAGCGGGGATCACACAATTGTCCAAAGGCAACTCTACCGGCACGGATACCTGTAGATTGTCACCGATAGGCCAAATCTGGCCGTATTCGTTGTTACCCCAAGCAAAAAGGCGACCGCATCGGGTCAGTGCCAAGACGGTGTCCCCACGCGAGGCAATTTGTCTGTACCGAATAAGAATAAAAGTATATAAACCAACTCAAGCGGCATATCTAACAATGTTAGGTTTTCATTGGGGTTACAGAGAAAACATTAGAAGAAAAGAGTATGAAACGGTTTTGCTTAAACTCTGAGTGCATATAACTATCTGGGGTTAGTTCATACACCGCAGTAATTACCTTAGAAACAAACGTCTGTAAAATTCCGTTTGTATTGTAAGCATGCGAACAAGAGCCAAACATTGCACACACTACCTTGTATCTAACCCAACCAATATAAGACAAGTATAAGAAGCACTAAACCAACTGATATCGCAGTAAACCAGCTCTGCAAAATATAGTCATAATATGCGTTAGTAAGAAAAGTATTCAATAGTCAACATCAAATTCATTGTGAGAAAAGGTTAATGGTGGGATTGGCTTTCGCGACATCGGATTAAAGCGTCGTATAAATAGTTCTATTCAGAGATCAATTTATAGAAAAACAACCTGATGCGGCTAGTATCCTCAGTTCACAAGTTTCGTGCCATTCGAAAGAAAAAGGAGTCTGATTCAATGTTTGATAAATAAGGTGGTGAAAATATGCATTGATGACACCATAAATGCGGAACTGTCATTCACCTGTGATATCTTCCTACGAAACGGTTATCCAGATCGTTTTGTGGATAGCATTTTACGAAAACATCGTCCAAGGGCGAAACTTTTGGGCACAGAGAAGAACTCAGTATACATCTTTCTATCATTCAAAGGAGATACACTCGCGGAATGGATTAGCCATATATTAGGAACTGCGTTGGAGAATACACTACATGAGGCAAAATTACGTGTCGTATTCATGTCCAGATTGATCCTGGGTTCACAAGATTCCTGCTTCTTTGGTCTCATTTTGTGTGTACCCTTTAACGTAGTCCTGTGGAGCAACGTATATCGGCCGCATGAGCAGGTGCATATATACAAGAGTTCGGTACATCATCCAAATTGGTTGAACACTAATGTAAATAAAACTATTTAAAGTACCATCATTTCTCAGCCCGTCGAATCCGAGCTCACAGTGGGTAAGAAAGAAGCACTGCAGCCTCTACCGTGTTCCGTTCGCCGATCGAAGCCGATTAAAAGTCGCATCCTAGCCACCGCGGGGGCGGTTGAAATTCATCTACATAATCCCCCCATTTTAGACTCCCAAAACAATTCGTGAAGTCACTCAACTTCAAATGGCCCTCCACCTCCCCATCCCATTCTAAATCACATAAGCAGAACGGACTAAGCGTAAGATCTGATGGCAAGATCAGCCATATCCGATTAGTCAAACTGAGACAGAAAATAAATCTCCATTGAATATTCATTTAATTTATTTTCTCTTATCTAAACGAAATGAGGTATTAGCCAGTTGATGAGTCGCGGATAATAAGCTTGTTCGCTAAACTGCCTTTTCATTCAATATACGCACGAATTGATTTAACGACATTCCGGAGATGATGAGGATTGGGTGTCTGAATAGGAAAGCGGATTCTGTAGCTCAATGATGGAGAGCTTAGAACGAGGTAAGCACAACTCAACTACGCACGGTTTCAGATGAACTGGTGGTTGTACAGGCTACAACAGATCGTACATCAGCGCAAAGTGATGACCCATGCATTGAATAATCCTGTATATCACAGTAAAAAAAGAGTACAACTCATCCTGCGCATTTGCTTGCTTACGTGTATAATATCCGCAAAACCAACTAATTTACACCAATTTTCCACCTCAGTTACAAAAAGGATAATATATGCTGCGGAGTTGACATCAAGTAAGAAGAGCAGTAATCAAAACATCCGTTATCAAAGAATATGGTAAGAGTAATAAACCTAAATATAATGAAACATTAACAAATAATCCCCATATATAGAATCAGGTAGGAAACAGTTGCGATTTGCAGTTTTACGAACATTATCCATGCACTTTCGTGCGCCGGTTTTCGTTGCTGTTTTTGGCTGCCCATTTGGACGAATAGTAGGAGAACAGATGAAAGTAGAACCGAAGAGGAAATGGGGAACTGCAGTGGATTATTGTTGCAAATAAATTGACCTGATACTCAGTCATACCACCGGTTAAGATCATCCCAAGGTCATTAGCCGGGGAGCCTAACGAGACCTATGTGACCCAGTCTCCTGGTTAGGGTTTTCATACCC